GCCCGCCGCGGCTGTCAGCGCCGCCCCCCTCCTCCTCCGTCCGGGCCAGTGGGGGGCAGCCACCTAAGGAGGGGGGCCCTCTCCGCCCACGCAGAGCCCCGCTCCGGGCGGGGAGGGGGCGCCGGAACTCGGCTCTCTCCGGAGCACCCTGCCTAGCTGCGGCGCGCACGGGCACAAAGGAGTTAAACGGTTAATCCGATCGGGGAGAAGACACCCGACTGGTTGCTGGAGTGTCAGTCAGTCGGTCCATCATGGCGGGGGCGGAGCCGGTCACTGGCTTGTCCTCGCTGCTACCTCTGGCCAGGGGGAGCTTTTGGGGAGTGGTCCCGGTGCCACCAGCGCGGTGCCTGCAGCCGGCAGCGGCGGAGTGTGTGGGATCTCCTGTCTGTGGGTCGCAGGATGGTGATGGTGCGTGCCCGAGGCGGGATGTGCGCGCACGTGGCCTCTTCCGAAGGTTGTCTGTTTTCAGTGTCGGCTGGAAGTGTGTGTGTGCACGTGGTTGGCTGCTGCTGTCTGCCTGTTTCTCGGGATTTGGCTGTGTGTATATCTCCGTGTGTCTGTGGGTGAAGGATGTGCGCGCACGTGTGCTGCCTGTTTGGAGGGTGTGCGCCCCTACGGGGTATGTTCCGGGAGCCTGGGGGCTGTGGATATGTTTCCAAGCGCTTGGGTGTGTTGAGGTCGCTGCGTGCTCCAGGAGTTGTGCACGCGATTCTGCCTCTGTCGTCTGACTATGGTATCTGAGGACATCTATGTGTGTTGGGGTGTGTGTGTGTGTGTGTGTGTGTGTGTGTGGTCGGCCTGGGGCCTCTTTGGAGTGTTTCTGGGGTGTGTCCCTTTGGTTGCCTTGTGGCACCTGGAGGACACCCTGTGGCCAATACCCAGTTGCCCGCCCACTGCTTTGTGTATCGCTGCCTCTCCTAAAGCATTTCTGCGGGAGGTAAACTGAGGCAGGTGCCCGGTAGCCACGGGGCGCACCCCCGTGCCCTTTTCAGGAGAGTAAACAGCCGAGCCTCCTCCCCGCGGCCCCCGCCGGCAGAACCCCCCTTCCGGCACCTAAATCGGGAGTCGCCGTGACTCACGCTCCCGCCTCCCCCAGCGCCGCGCCGAGCGAGCGAGCGAGCACAGAGCGAGCGGGATTCGAGCGCGCCCCCATCCCCCCTCCCGGGCCCGGCCGAGCTCTGGTGGCTGCTGGAAGGGGGAGCTCACGCGCCCCCGTGCATCACCCCCCACGCCGATAAGGGTTCAGACGCAAAACTGCTCTGGTACACGTCCCTCCGGGACAAGGCCGCCGCCCCTGTGCGCCCCCTCTCAGGGGCTCCTGCCAGGGCAAGCCGTGCCGTCTGCCACCGCCCTCCCCCAGCGCTGTTCTCCTTGTAAAAAAAATTGCCCGTCTCCAACCCCCACAGCCACACTTCTCCCTGCCGGAGGGGGCTCCGGGCGTGGGCGAACGCAGAGCAAGAACTGGCACCCCCCATCAGCAGCCGCGGGGTATCCCAGAGGCCAGAACTATGTCCCTCACTTCTCCCAGGAACACCCCTCAAGTGCACACTCAAAACGACTTCTAGGGGATTTGCAGGGGCTGTGGGTTCTTTCCAGATCATTTGGGGTCCCGAGCTAGTCCAAATTCTTGGATAGTGGGAGGCGGCTGTAACGTTGGTCAGAGATCTGGATGGGGGATGGGTAACACCGGGAGGGGGGCAGGGGCGGTAGCAGGCGCAGCTGGGGTTGCAGGAGGAGGGCACAAGGCAGTGGCCCATAGCTGGTAATTGGAGCTGTGGCCTGATCAAGCTGGACTTGAACCAGAGGCTAGTGGGATGGTGAGGGGGAGTACAGTTTAGGTGGCCCCAGGGGGCAGTGACAGTCACTTCCTCCCCTCATCTGGAAATGAGCCGTTATACCATTACCGGAGCAGAGAACCTGGAGCCCTCCAGTTGAATAGATGGGGAAGGGGTTGGTTGGGACTGCAGAGAGTGGGGACCAGGCGAGGACATGAGGGCAGTGGCCGGCCAGGAGCCAGGACCAGCTCAGCGGTCTGGCTTTCCGGCTCATCTTTGGGCCAAGAGGGGGGCTGGGTGCCCTCTGAGGACCCCAGATGAGAAGCTGCAAGAAAGTGCAGTGTGAAGCTGGGGCTTCCAGATGTTTCTCACATCTCCCCGGGAAAAAGAAAAATGCCACTCCAGACCTCCAGGACTCCACCATGCCCTTTAAGGCGCGCAAGAAACCGAATCCTCCCAGCAGGGGACACAGAGGCAGGTGCACAGCAGACTGGCCAGCCTGTCCCAGCTCTGCGAATATGGGGCTATCTTGGGGGCTGTTGAGTTGGGGGCTGTCTTGGGGGCTGACTCGGGCAGCTGGAAATGGAAGAAGGGGTTCGCAGACGCTGCAAAGGGCGCCTTAGGAGAGGGGTATCGCAGCCTGACCGCCAGGCTAGAGAAGTTTCAGTTAGTTTTGCAAACCGCAGAGAGCTTGGAGATCCCGGAGGGCTGGTGGTTGGACCTAGTCCAGCTGGCCCTGTGCCTCCGCCCTACCTCCCGCCCTGGTCCCCCTCCTGCCTACCTGTCGGCCTCCGCGCTGGTGATGGAAATCCGCGGCGGGATCAGCAGCGGCAGCGTGGTGGGCCGTGGCGGCAGAGGGACCCCAGCGTCCGAGGGCTCAGGAAGGGCCCAGCCCAGGCCGGGACCAGACGAGAGGCGGCGGCGAGGGCGACGGAGGTCGGCCCCCAGCATGTTGGCACGGCCGGACTCGGGGGTCTCCCGCGGCCTCTGAGGAGGGACAAGGTGGGATGCGGGTGTGGCCTAGCAGGGAAGCCCTGGCCCCTGCCCCCCAGGAACACCCCTCCCAAATCATCTGAGGGAGTAGCTGATGGGGGCATAGGCTCCCTGTGTCCCCCTCACGTCTGAGCCACTCGCTGACCCCTCCCACCCCTTAGGTCTGAGGGCGTACCTTCCCAGCCATTTTTGTGGGGTCCCCTCTTGATGTCCCAGCCCTGGGCTCTGGGCCCTCATTCTGTCTCACGTGTGAGACCCCTCTAACACATCACCTTTTGAGGGTCTCTTCCCACCCTCCGCGTCTAAGAGGCCCCCACTTGGCCTTAATGTCAATGGCCCCCTCCCACCCCTCACCCCCGAGACCCTCAAGACCTCATCCTCAGCGCCCCAATCCCACTTCCTCGCCAAAATCCTCTCCCCATTTGGGAATCCCCTGCCCTCTGCCCCTGGGGCTGAGAGCCACCTAATCTGGGCAACAGGAGAAAAATGGAATCGAGGGAGTAAACTGAGGCACGAGGGAACGAGACTCCTCAGGACCTCGAGGTAGTGGAACACGCTCAGTAAACAGCTGTGGTCACCAGAGGGCGCCCGTCTCCCTGGCGGCCTAAGCCCCGCCCCCAGCCCGGGCCACGCCCCTCGCACCTCGTCCCTGGTCCCGGCCACGGACAGGGCACTGCGACTCCTCTTCATCCCGCCAACCTAGCTCGCCACCGGGGCTGCGTGAGCCATGTCAGCCAGGCCAGGGCCTCCTGCGGGACCAAGCCGAAGGCATCCGCCATTAGCGCCCTGGGGCTCCCCCTGCCGGCGGGGCCTGGAATCCGCTCCCGCCCCTTTCCTATTGCCTCTCCTGGGGCGTGACGCCAGCAGGCGGCTGACGCACTGCCGATTGGTGACGTCTCCCGGCCGTTGCCAAGGCGACAGCTGACGCACGATTGGGTTCTGGACAGCGTCAATGCCCGGGTTGGCCACTGGGGGGCCGGGAGCCTCCGGGGCCCGGGTCGCCCCAGCCCCCACCCGTCTTTCCGCGGGGGCTTCCCCGGCGTGGGGATCCCGCAGAGAAGACTGGGAGCTCCCCAGAGCTGGCCGCGTGTGGCGCGTGGTCAGAGCCGGGGGCCGGAGGAAGCGTCTCCTCCGAGCTGTTGGGCTTTTATGCCTGAACCCGAAATAGCTCTGATGTGCGGGGGCCGAGCGCAGAGAGACGGCGGCTTGGGCACAGATGGGGGACGCACAGGCAGAGGCGCGCGGAGACAGACAGGGACGTGTGGAAATAGAAACAGACAGACAGGGACACAGACTCAGCTCCCGGTGATGGATGCGTTCTGCTGCAGCCGATCCTTGTCTAAAAGCCTGGGGGAGGGAGAGGCTGGCTTACTTACCTTTGCACCCAGGCGCTAAAGATTATTGCTCTGTGGCGATGGGTCCGTGACTTAAATTCTCTGAGCCTCAGTTTCTGGTCTGTGAAATGGGATGATAATCCCTATGAGATCCATGGGAGAATGAAATGAGATCAAGCTATATTGAACAGAACAGTGTCAGGCACTCAGTAAGTGCTTAATAAATGCTACTAATATCTGAGCCCCTGGGAGCCTGTTAGAACCCAAGTCAGATCCTGTCCTTCCTCTGATTAGAACCCTCAATGGCTCTCACTTCATTCAGAGGAAAAGTCAAAATCTTTAGCACGTGGCTCATGCAGTCCTGTAGGATGTGCCCAGTCACCTCCCTGCCCTTGGTTCCAGCCACACTATTCTCCTGGCTATTTCTGGACACACCAAGCATGCTGCGGTCTCAGGGCCTTTGCACTTGCTGTTCTCCACCTGGAACTCTCTTCCCCCAAATATATGCAGGTCCCTCACCTCCTCCAGATCTTTGCTTACAACTCATCCTTTCAGGCATTTCTCCCCTTCTCGCCCCACGCCCATTTAAAGTTACAAACCTACAGGACTCGTGACTGCTCCCACCCTTAACCAGCTCTAGTTTTCCACAGCACTTAT